TATTATTTTTGTATCATTTTTTATAACTTTTTAAAAATCATCAAATTTATTGAAGTCTTTAAGTGTCGCGCACTGTATAATAAAATGCAAAAAGTTCGAAGGACGACCTCAGAAAGCATATGATATATATAAAATATAAAAATTTTTAGGTAATACGAATTCTTTCATACTCCAATTTTTGGTTGCACAAACCAAAATAAATTATATGTTCAATGCAATTTTTGATGAATAATTATTTATTAACTTGGGTTATTAATTTTGTTAATTGGGAAATCATTTGGGACCTTTGCAATAGAAAAGGGAAAACAACTGAATGCTAAATCTGAATATATTTTGACCTAAAAATCATATTTGACATATAAAAATAAAATTGATTTTTTCCGGCTTTCTATTGCAAAGGTCCCATTTGGTATATTGAACAATTGTCATACTCTATGGGATGATTTGAAAATGAAATTTTCAGCACATAAACTCCATCAGGGAATTAATGATAGTATTAGAGGAGGAATGGAACCCAAAATTGTAATAAGTTTAGTTTGAAAGTTTGTCAAGAAGGTTAAAGCTGTAATAGATGTAATGGCAACCCAACCTTACTAAGTATTAATAATATAAATAACAAATTTGAATTTTTTTTGAGTTATATATATTAATTTTAAATAAATTTAATTAAATAATCTTCGAAAAATTAAATGTTAAAAGTTGACTAGCTTATTTATGATTCAAAACGATTAACTGGGAAGTGCTGGTTTATTCCTTCGCAAATTACAATAGAAGTTACATGTTGTATTAGAAATTCAAAAATTTTTTGCAGGGAAGATAAGTTACATCACGAGAAATTCTAGGAAATTTTCAAGCAAGCTTAAACAAATTGACCGCTACTGGAAGTAACGTGGCGTGGCATCAAATTACTAACTTTAAGATATTTAAAACTTTAAATATTTAATTTAGATGAAATCCGTTTCTGAAAATTTTTCTTAAATTCAAGCTATAATTAGGAATATTTTGATATTTGTTATTACCGGACAAGCAATTATATGTTCTGTCAAATTTCCCAAATTTATTGTTCAAATGGAAAAAGAACAATTAAATATCAATAAATCGCATACTTTATAAAAAAAAAAAAAAGTAATGATCTATTATTCTCTTTCTTATTTGTTTTTGGATCGTCACCAAATTTTTTTAAATGAATGAATGGTAGATTCGTATGATTTGGGTTTTCTTTCTTTTAACTTTCTTTTCTTTAAAAATTTTTGCGGTATTTGCAATTCTCGATTAAAAAATGGGTTCAGGAACCGATTCAAAATTCAGCATATTCTGGACTTGCCTGAGTTACTTTTCACCAATTTAAATCGAACCGAACGGACTCTTTGACCGGCTCAAGAGTCGAATTTGTTTGATAAGAAAACCAATCGAAAACTTTTTTTATAATGATCATATATTTGTATAAATTTAACTTAACGCTCAAAATTTTAATTTACTTAAGGAGAGTCCAATCAGATACATCTAGAGCAGTAATTTTTTGTGAAGCAGAACAACCGAAATAACCATCCACAACCCTATATATGGGATTATTTTTAGGGAATCAGAAGTATTTTGAAATAAATCAAGTGATAAAGTCACACAAACATAAACATAAACATTTTTTTTTTTTTTTTTTTTGATCGCAAAAAAAAAAATTGTTATAAATACGTAAAACAGATATATGTAAAATTTTCACTTTGATTTTCACTCTGCTCTGACGAATATGGAAGAGGCAAGTTTTTCTGTCATTATTTTTTTTTTTATTTAATATGAATTCCCTAAATTTTAGTTGTTTATTCCACTCCAAAGTTTGATCTAATTTTGAAGATGTAAGTTTCTCTTCTGTCATTATTGTTTTTTTTATATGAATTTCTTAAATTTTAGGTATTATCGCTTCTGGTGTATGAAAATGTCAGTTTATCTCTTCGTAATATCAAAAGGTCAAGACCTGAAAATCATTTTTTTAGTTTTATTAAGGTATAATTAGTTTTTATTTGGTTTATTTTATTAAATTTTTTTTTTTTTTTAACATTAATAACATAATTATATAGAACAACAATTGGTATACTAAATTGAACTTATTGAATGATATTGTCATTGATCTTACAAAATTGCATGACTATAAACTTATTCATCGTGATCTTTGTACTGGCAATATTTTAACAAAGAGAGTTCGTAATAATTATAATGGATCGGAGTTTTATAAGTATTTCATTTCTCCAAGAACTTCTAAAAATGATAATATTAATGGTAACCTACCTTTCATGGCGCCCGAAGTTTTGGAGGGTAAACCTTACACTACGGCTAGCGATTTATATAGTTTAGCAATGATTATGTGGGAAATTGTTACAGGAATTCCACCATTTAACGACAGAAAACGTGATCTACAGCTTATTTTAAACGTCTGCGAAGGTGAACGTCCTAAAAATTATCAAGTGTTTCCACAATGTTATGCTGATTTAATGAATGCATGTTGGGACCCTGATCCTTCTGAAAGACCAACTGCAAATGAAGTTTCTACGATTATTCAGAGTTGGATTTATTATATTTTGAAGTATTATAAAGCAGATAATCCATTGGATATTAAACGAGATGTCGATTATAAATTGATTCATGAAAATATTGATGAAATTATTGAAGAGATTGATGATATCCAATTCAGGAATGATACTGTAGATTTTTGGAAAGCGGATAAAGCTTTAGCAAATGTATAAGCTGAGTGATAACGAATCTTATTAACTATCGGTATGTATTTAGGAAATACATTTTTTATTTACAAAATAAAATTTTTTTTAAATATTTAGTTCTTTTTTTTTTTTTTTTTTTTTAGCAAAGGATTATGATTTTTTACTTGTATAAATTTAAGATTATAAAGTCTCCTTTGCAACCATCCTTGCGAAATCTCAACATAAACAAATATTCAAATGTGTACTTTCAAGTTTTTCTATAAGTTATACTAAATTTTATTTTTTATTAATTATCGATTATTTAATAAAGATAAAAGAATACTAAGAAATTATGTGTTTATTAGAAGTATGAATATTTATAAATTAAGCCGTTACGTTAATTATAAACTTTTTTTTAGCATAAGAAAAATATTAGGTATCCTGAAGTTTCAGAAATCGAAACTAGTATTTGTCGTTTTGCCAAATTATTTATTAAAGGCATAACCGCGAAAGTTATCAAAATAAATTTCCCTTCTAAGTAACATTTTTAATACATCCTTTTGAAAATCCTGATTGATGTCCTGTAAATAAGACAATTTTGCATGACATTCCTTAACGGGAAGCATAAACTTCGATGAATAGATATTATTATAAAAAATAAATATTAATTAAAATTATTTACACGAACCATCTTAAAAGAAAAGTAAATCTAAACAAAAAGGAAGTTTAAATAATTTTAATTTATTACATGAAAGTTTAATGATACAATCAAAATCTAAAACCCGACTTTTGCCAAAATTGGATTAAATAAAATTAGCTTTTGCCCGGCCCGCAATTTTAAAATACTTTCTATTGTATTTATTATGTAATTCTATATGAATATTTCAATCAATATAAAATCTGACACAGAGACTTCGATTTTGAGGAACTTGCATATGCACGGCACGTAATGCTAACATATGAGATCTTGGAGAACTATCTCGTTGTTTGATTTCTCATTAATTTGTTTTCTCTCTTCTTTTTCTGTAGACTTAAAAAATATTACACAGTATCTTAGGCAACCTGTTTGGATCGGCACAATGTTTTGCATAAAAAAAAAAAAAAATATGGATAAATAAACAACAATTATCAAAATTTTCTTTTCTCTTGAAGTTCATAACCCATAAGTTGAGAGGATGGTTCTACCTGACGAAACTCTTGGTTTGTATTTATAATAACAACTTTAAATTATAATAATAAAAAGATGTTAACGATTTTATTTAATTCAACTTTAAGTATTTGACAGTAATGATGTTTAATTCAAATATTAAATCTTCTTGTTCCTTTCTTTTTTTTTTGTTTTAAATATTAATATCACCTTTGAACGTTGACCCATATTTTAAAGATGATGGTGTTGCGGCGTCAGATATAAGTATCGAGAAATTTTTATATGGTTCAGTTGATAAAGATAGAAATCCTTCTCGTAGGTCTTCGATTTTGTATAAATAAACAATTTAGAAAAAAAGGAGATATTACTTAAACATCCGAATTTTTAAATAACTATTATGATTTTAGCTCCTGAATTCGTGTCACTAAGCGAGGTAGAACTTGGATCACAAAGCGAAGTAGAATATGGATCTAAACGAGTTAATCGGTTTCACTGTCAACATCCTGGATGCTCTAAAACTTTCAGGGACAATTTTCAGTTAGAAACCCATGTAAGGACGCACACGGGTGAAAAACCATTTGCTTGTGATTATCAAACGTGTAACAAAAGATTTGCTCAGAAAGCCAATTTAACGACACATCAGAAAACTCATTCCGGCGTAAAACCTTATGTCTGTGAAATTTGTAAACAAAAATTCACGCAACTAAGCCAAGTTAATGCACATATAAAAGTACATACCGGTGAAAAGAATTATGAGTGTGAAATTTGCAACAAAAAATTCTCAGAGAAAGGGCAGTTAAAAGCACATAAAGATACTAAAAAACACAAGGAGTGCGAATTTGAATTCCAACAATACAATTAAGAATTTAAATATTATTTTTAAGGCTTTGACAATAACCGCCACTATTAAAATCACGGATTCACGCGATTTTATTATCGTTATATATGTCAGAGACAATTATTTAATTCTTACGTTCACTTAATTTTATATTTGATATTGGGAAATTTTCTTTCATCTCCTTTATTCGCAAGTCTTTCATGGTATGATAGCATGGTACAGTAGATAGTAAATAAATTTCAACATATAAATTATTGTTTATTTTGTTTATTTATAAATTAAATAAATGCGAATATGTTTACATATTAAATTGCTTATGCAAGCATACTTACTAATTATCAAATTACTTTCAAAGTGTGTTCTGAAGTCCGAGCAATCTCTAAAAAAAACCTTATACAAAAAAGACTATATGTATTTCAATTTCAATTTTTTTTTTTTAAAAAAAAAAATCCATATAAAACTAAACACGTGATTTATCATTTATCTTTATAGCGTAATCGCATTTCCACATGATAAAATAATAAAAAGAAACGACATTCAAAATTTTCAAGTTTGATTCTATTAATTTTATCACAATCATCATATATTCTATTTTTTTTTTTTTTCATTCCAAACTTCTAGACTTTTCACCACCGTCAATTCCTTCAACGCTAATTAACTTCTCGGACAAGCATAACATTGGCGGCATCTAGCTTCATAACCTTCTTGACCTCCTATTAAAACGAGAGGACTATCAAAAGCAGCGGGTTGACCAGAAATTATCCTTTGGGTATAACTAGCTTCACCTTGACACACTTGACAAATGGCTTTTAATTTAATAACTTCATCAGCCAAGGAAAGTAAAGTTTTCATAACTTCATTAAAAGGTTCGCCGCGAAAGTTTTTATCTAACCCCGCACCAATAACCAAGAATCCCCTTTTCAACAAGAAATTAATTTTTTCGCTAATTCCTTCGTCGAAAAATTGTAATTCATCAAAGAAAAAAATCGTTTGCTCTTTCTCCTGAGAAGCATATTTGTCTATTTCGTTACTACTCTGGAGAACGATTGCCCGAGCTTTATTTTTTTGGTGCGAAACCACCTCTGCTGACGAATAACGATTATCCAAAGAAGGCTTGAAAAGTAAGTATTTGTTGTTAGAAATTTGACAACGATGAATTCTTCGTAGCAACTCTTCAGTTTTTCCCGCAAACATGGGACCGGTAATTATCGTTAGTTTTGACATAAGTTTTACCCGAATGAATTCAGCTTTTCTTGAACTATCAATAACATTTTGTCTATATTTGCATCGTGATTCTTGACTGGCTAAAAAAAACTACATTTTAATAAAATAATAATTAATAAATTCATTATAAATGAGTTCTGAATTAGCAAAAGAGCGATTTTTTCTACCTTGGTATTTTCTTTCATATTCCCGAGCAGGGATACTACCAAAGAAGGGATATTTTTGGATAGGAGAACCACCACCAAGATATTTGGTCTAAAAATAAAATTATAATCTAACCAATTTGATCCGATGTGATCAAAAGAATAAATTGATTTAATCCATTAAAACTTACATCAGGAGACGTTGCGGTAGGTACGGTTGTACGAGTTACCGTAAATTGATCTAATTTGGCTTTTTTTATATTTTTATCATCAATTTCGAAATCACTACCCGTTGGAAAAGCCTTTTAATCAATTAAACTGATTATTAAACGAAATCCTCTTATAAAACTCAAAAAAAAAAAAAAAAAAACTTTTGCCTTTTGCTTTTTAAGTTTACCTCAATATCTTGAGCATTTCGTAAAAAATCACTTGCATAGTATGTTTCTACGTATTTATGATCATTAATAATATCTGAAATATCCATTGTGAAAAAGTTAAAAAAAAAAAATAAATTTAAAAAACAAAAAAAAAAAAAACAAAAAAGTTTGTGTTTATAATCATTTACCTTTCATGCATATGGGTGTTTTCTATAATTGTTAAAATACAATGCAGCGGAAAATTTTGATAGCTGATCGAATTTTCCAATTTAAGGATTTAGTTCCATGTGGCGGTTGGTGCTACAGAATTTTTTTTTCTCTCCAAGAAAATTTTTTGAAAAATTTGAGCAAAACTTTTTTAACTACACATCATGTGTAACGATATGTAAGTTTGTAGGTAAAGAGTAATATTGTCTTATTAAATTTGATTAAGCTAAATTATATAATTCTTTCCGTGATTATCAGCAAATTTTGTCCGGATTGCAAAAATGATCATACGGGATATCAATGGTGTTTTCGATGTAACCCCACAAGATTTGAGAAAGAATTTTCAAAGTGGAATAGCGGAAATACATTCATTAACAAATTTATTAGAGAAGCACAAATCAAAGCACAAAAGCACGATGATGTTTTAGAATGGATACCTTTCGATAGAATAACGAATATTAATCACCTAGATTCTGAAGCTTTGTTCAAAGCAATTTGGTTAGATGGTCCTATTGAAACTTGGGATAATGATAAACAACAATGGAATAGAAATACATACGAAATTGACGAAAATTTGGATGGTTATGAAGTGGTTCTTAAAAATCTTAATAATTCATCAAAATCAAATGGTGATGAAGGATTTCTAAATGAGGTATAATGTTAATATTGAAAATTATTAAAATGATAATGGATCTAATGAATTAATTTTTATTTTACCTGACAATAAGTGGAAGCATCATTTTAGTTGTGATTATGATAAAGAACATTCCCTCATTCGATTATTCGGTTTCACCCAGCATCCAATTAATTTGAATCATATGATAGTAATGGATTACGCTAATGAAGGAAGTTTAAAGCATTTCTTACCAAGGATCGTTAAATTTAATTGGCATACCAGATTAAATTTATTGAATGATATCATTGCTGGTCTTGAAAAAATACATGACAACAACCTCGTTCATTGTAATCTTCATGATGGTAACATTTTAACGAAGAGAGTACGTAATAATTATAATGGATTGGATTTATTTCAAAATTTTGTTGACGATTTAGGATCATGTCAACCATTTGAATCTGTTCCGTCCGCTTCTTCTGACAATGAAAGCATTTAC